TTTTTCATTAAAGAAAACCATGTTCTCAACACCCAGTAAGTCCTGGGCACAAGAGATTAAAAAAAAAAAAAAAAAAAAAAAAGAGCGACAGAAAGAAAAAGTAAGATACTGACCCCGTTCTCCTGATACACACAACCTAGTATTTTTTTTCAAGCTCATTTTCTTTTCATTCTCTATCATTTACATACTCATTTATTACCATTTATTTACTTGAGCACTGCTACATTTCCATGCTGGAATTATACTATTATTTCTTGCCTAAACGAGCACTTTGTTAACAAGTATCTGAGAGCAACTATTTGGAGCTTAACTGTGCATGAACTGAATTAATTTAAATGCAAAATGTGCCCTAATGAACTCAAACAACCATCCCATATTTACATAGATCCATGACTCTGGGACAACACCCTTCACTTGGTTGTAACCAACAAAATCCCCAGGGGACAAATGCCAGTGTCTCTCAGCACATTAAGAAGAGAGTTGGCCTCATGCACCTACAAGCTTTTTTTTTATTTCTTTCTTCCACGTGAGAGAGGCAGGCTCCCCCAACAGGGTCTGTACAGCAATGCACTCCCAGTTCCAGCTCGCCTGGTTCACAGCACAGAACACAGAACGTGTGCACATCTGGGTACCCAGGGAGGTCCGGGACACAAACCCAGGACCCTCATCCTGTGATTCCAGTTGCATCACCCTTTGCCATCACCATTCCCAAAAATATCCTTACCTACCCCGCTGTGAGGTTTTTCACTTAGAAGAATCTGAAAAAAAAAAATGTAAACTAAAAACTGTGCCTGAAAGCTATCTGGTAAGTACAAAGGGGTCTTCCTAAAGTTCAAGGGAAAAAAATGCAGATTGTGAAAACTAGGCATGGATTTCAAACATTTTTTACGTGAAAATAAACAGGTACTTTACGGTGAGCCAGTGGCATGATGATTAGGGAGGCTCGATCCCACATGGCTGAGTGCACTGCTCCAGTTGCAGATCCTGCAGCTTGAAAAACATGCTCTGTGTGTGTGTGTGTGCGCGCGCGCGCGCGCACGTTCACCCAACATCCCAAAAGATAAATGGAGAAGGGACTGTGAGTGACCATCCCCCATGGGAGGGTACTTTCTCAGTTTCTCCCCCACCTCCTTCCCAGCAAGTATACAAGCTCTCTGGCAAAATTAAAGCACACACACACAAAAGTGTACTTTCATTCTATTTGCCACAAATTTTTTGAAGGCTTCACGCGTGTTAGAATGTATAATTCCCCCAATACCTTCCATTCCCTCTTCAAGTCCAGTATGAAAAATGAATCTTTCCAATCTCATCTGACCAAAAGCACTAGAGGTCATTGCACTTCTTTTGTTCTTTTTAGAATTTTTTATTTAATTATTTTCTTTCATTTGACCTGAGAGAAAGAGAAAGTGAGAAAGCAAGTCACCACCTCACAGACTCAAACCACAGCTGACCACCTGGGAGTCTGGTGCCTTAACCACCATGCCACCTGCCGGCCCAGTAATTATATTTCTACTAAGTTGATCTGAGGTAATTCACTGCCTAGTATCAAGGCCTTAGGTTCCTGACTGGTGGGGGCCAACCAACTGGGGTTGAGTCTGACACTTTCGCTAACAACATAGGTGGCTTTGGTCAAGTCACTTCATCTGTCTGGGCTGACAGTTTGCAAAATCCTTTTTTTTGGGGGGGGGGGGATTTGCTATAGGGCGCGTGTGCTCGCCAGAAAGACAGAGAGAGACAGGGAGATAGAAAGCAAGAAATCAGCCCCCAGGGGGTATGGCCACACCGCAATCCCTTCTCCTCCATTCTCCTCGGGATCCTGGGGACGCACGCACATGCGCCCGGTGTGAGTTTTAAGCCACCGGGTCCGGGATGCGAACTGTGGTGGATTACATGGGAGTCCAAAGTTTGCAAAATCCTATATTTTACATGCAGAATGAAGGAAATGTTCTCTTTTATTTCAGTAAGAACAGAAAAAGTCAACTATCAATTTAGTGTCGATATATTCCCCCAAAGATGCAGTTTTTATAAACACTTACATGATGACCGTCTGATACATAGAGAAGGATGATCCCTTTCAGCCTGGTATCTGCCTGCAGACCATACAGTTAAGTAAGCTGTGTCCTTTTCCTCTGACAACCAGAGCAATCCTGATGCCCAAGTTTACCCCAAAGGAAAATAAGGCTGTACAGAGAATGGGAAAACATGAGTGGACGCAGCCTGTGAGAAACAAGCTTTATGTTCTTGCGAGCTCCATACGAGACACCTATTTCTCCGCTCCTGCATCAGCCCTTTGGATAACAGGTTTGAGCTTCTTAGCCACACCCTGTCTTCTAAGTGGGCCAAAGAACACCTTGCTACAACTGAACCAACTGTGCTGGAATTTGCTAGGAAAGGGCAAGAAAATCTTCAGAAACTGCCACCTGCCAGCCTAGCGTCCCCCCAACAACCCTTGGCCCAAATGTCATTTAAGACAGCTCCCCAACCCTCCTCACTCTCACAGCCCACACCTTTGTAAGGGATGCCATGTGAGGTTATCGAACTCATTTTCTCAGTGACTGAAAATTTACAGAGCAGGATCTAATTGAGAAATAACAAGAGGCTGGTAGGTGATGTGGTGGTTAAGGTGCTAGATTCCCACATGGTCGACCGCGGTTTGAGTCCTGGACTTGGTGGCTTGCTTTCTTATTTGCCCTCTCTCTCTCTCTCTGGTGAGCACAAGTGCCCTATAGCAAATTTCAAAATAATAATAATATTTAATAAAATTAAGCAATTCTTTACAAAAAAAAAAAAAGAGGTAAACTTCCTGCTTGATGAACTTAAATAACCTAACATCACAGCTTTATTTATTTATTTATTTTTATAGAGAGATTTTTGCTATAGGGCGTGTGGGCTTACCAGAAAGACAAAGACAGAGAGACAGAAAGTGAGAAATCACTCCCCAAGGGGGATGACCACACCACAATCGAATCTCCTCCATTCTCCTCTCCGGATCTTGGGCATGTAAGCACGCATGCCTGAACTGAGTTTTAAGCTGCCGGGTCTGAGACGTGAACCTCAGTCAACTACATGAGAGTCCAGTAACGTAGCCATTATGTCATCTGCTGGTTCCAGTCACCACAACTTTAAAATGTTCATGGGGATACCAGCAGGTGGTGTGGTGGTTAAGAGCGCTGGACTCCCACATGGTGGATTGCTGTTCAAGTCCTGGACCTGGTGGCTCTCTCTCTCTCTCTCTCTCTCTTTCTCTCTCTCTTACTCTGTCCCTCTCTGGTTGAATTAAAATAAATAAATAAGTTAAATAAAATAATTCTTTTGAAAAATGTTCATAGGGGGCCAACAAGTGGCATAGTGGTCAAGGTGCTGGATTCTCATGTGACAGACCATGGTTCGAGTCCCAGACCCAGTGGTTGAAACTCACTCCAGGAGCCTATGCGTGTGTGGCTAAAATCCCAAGAAAACAGAGAAGGGATGGCTCTGGGGCCATCCCCATGGGGGTGACTTCTGACTTTCTGTCTCTCTGACTCTTGACCCAGTGAATGAGCCCTACAGCAAAAAAATCTCTCAGAAAAAAAAAAAATATTTATTAGGTTTTCTAGAATTTCAGCAAAGGAATACATTTATATATAAAATTCAGAAAAGGCAAAAGTAGAACATTTCTAATCCAATATATAGTATAAATATTGTACAAATATTCAAAAATATGTAATGTATATAAATGAACACATATGTGCATATATGCTCATATGTAAAAGTGGAAAGTGAGAACAGAACTATAACCCATCTTTCTTAATTCTCTGTAGAGTAATAAGCATAAATATCAATGAATACCTGAAAATAAAAAAGACTCAGACTTCAGGATGTCTGGAAAGATGAGACATGGGACTCTTTTGGCAAGAAAAAAAAAAAAAACCAGAAAGAGCTACATTTATTGAGCATCTACTATCTGCCAGGCAGTATGCCGAGCACTTCATATACAAGTTCGCCAACTCTCAGGCCAAGAGACGAGTTTTCCTGTCCTCATTTTACAGGCGAGGAAGCAGAGCACCAGAAGGGATGGATAACAAGGTCCTGCAGTCAGATGGAGAGCTAGGATGGGAACCAGACTCACTTCACAGGCCAAGAGCTTATCCTCGGAACTGACAGCTGTATCGTTTACCATTCCCAGGAAGGGTTTCTTTTTAAAAACGACATTATCTCCCATTTGAAGCATAAACGATCTCTAAACAAACTTAAAGCCTTTCCCAATAATCTACACATCTGGCAATTTGGGCAATTTCACATATTGATGCTAAACTGCCTCTTTGTGTGTGGATTAAGATGTTTGGCTATAATAACCCCCACCCTCCAGATTCCAGTCTACCTGCCTAACTACTGCTCCACCACAGCAATCCTACTCATTCCCCAAGGCTTTAAACCGTGAGCAGCTTCAACGTCCATGCCTAAGAACTGTTTTCCAAAAATTAAGCCAAATCCCTGGGCGGTTTTAATCACTGGACATTTCAAACTCCGTGCCAACACAGACTGAGCAAAACAAACCCTATTGTTTTTAACCCCAAACATAAAACAAATACCCTGTAATTCGACAGACTGAACAACTGCAAACAAAGTCAGTAAACATTTTGGCGGTTCCGAGTAAGGAAACGGTCACACGACAAAGGGTGACGAGATAAGCATCAGTCACAGCAGCCTCTTCCCAAAACTAACTTTGAAGGGCTCTTCCTCGCCTTGGCCGGACCAACTTCTCAGCAGGTGTCTCACATTCGACCGAGGACTATCAAACCCAACTGTTAAAAAACTATCTCTGGTGTGATCGGGGACTGGTTATTTTTTAATTAGGTTTGAAATCCCACACCGTGTCTATTGAACCTTCTAAGGACTAGAGCCCGAGAAGGCCGACTCTCGCGCCAGGGTGCCCAGTGGGTGGGCGAGAAGGGCGCACCGGTGTCGGAGGGCTGCGGCGAGCCGCCCTTCCCGCGCCTCCCTCTCCCGAGATAACTCACCAGGATGCCCATCACATCTGCCCAGAGTCGGGAGAACGCCTCGGACATGCCAGCGTCGGGCGCGGGATCTGGTGCGGACTCTGGCTCGGGTTCGGGCTCGGGCTCGGGCTCGGGCTCGGGCTCCGGCTCGGGCTCCGGGCCAACAGCTCCCGCGTCTTCCATGGCCGCGACACGCGCGCTGGCCGTGC